TGAACAGCACGCCAGACTACTTGTACAGCAAACCAAGGACTACTTGTACAGCACGTCCAGACAATTTGTACAGCCGCCGGACTACTTGTACAGCAACGCCAAGGACTTTGTACAGCACGCCAAGGTTACTTGTACAGCGCTAAGGATACATTGTAAAGCACGCCAAGGACTACTTGTACAGCACGCCAAGGTCTACTTGTACAGCAGCACGCCAAGGACTACTTGTACAGCAACAACAGGACTACTGTACAGCAGCACCAGACTACTTGTGCAGAACGCCGAGGACTACTTGAACAAAGTACACCGGGACTACTTGTACAGCACACCAAGGAGTACTTGGTACGCAACGCCGGATTACTTAAAGAAAACGCCAAGGACTACTTGAACAGCACGCCAAGGACTACTTGTACAGCACACTAGGGACTACTTGTGTAAGCACGTCAAGGACCATTTGTACAGAACGCCAAAACTACTTGTACAGCATGCCAGGACCACGTAAAACACACCACACTACCGAACAGCACTAAGGACCATTTGTACAGCACGCCAAAACTATTTACAGCACGCCATGACTACTGCAGCATACCAGGGACTACTTGTACAGCACGCCAAGGACTACTTGTACAGCACACTAAGGACTACTTGTACAGCAAACCAAGGACTTCAACAGCACACCAAGGACTACTTGTACAGCACAATTAAGGACTACTGTACAGCACGCAGGCGACTGGCAAAACAGCACGCGAAGGACTACTTGTACAGCACATCAAGGACTACTTGTACAGCACGTCAAGGAACATTTGTACAGCACGCCAAAAACTACTTGTACAGCATGCCAAGGACTACTTGTACAGCACAAGCGACTACTTGTACAGCACGCCAAGGACTACTGTACAGCACAATAGGACTACTTGTACAGCACAAAGGACATACTTTGAACAGCACACCAAGGACTACCAGCAGCACCGGACCACTTGTACAGCACGCCAAGGACTACTTAAACAAGCACGCCAAGGACCGCCTGAACAGCACGCTAGGCGACTACTTGTACAGCACACCGACTACTTGTAAAGCACGCTAACGACTACTTGTACAGCACGCCGGACTACTTTGAAAGCATGCCAGCGACTACTGTACAGCAACGCCGGACTACTAGTACAGCAACAACAAGCGACTACGTACAGCACGCAGGACTACTTTGAACAGCACACCAAGGACTACTTGTACAGCCACGGCGACTACTTGTACAGCACGCCAAGGACTACTTGTACAGCACGCTAAGGACTACTTGTACAGCACGCCAAGGACTACTTGCAGCACGGCATCATTACACAGCACACCAAGGACTACTTGCAAGGGAACGCCAAGGACTACTTGTACAGCACACCGCGATTACGCAGCACAAACGAGTACTTGTACAGCACGCCAACGATTACTTGAACAGCACGCCAAGGACTACTTGAACAGCAACAGCGACTACTTGTACAGCACGCCAAGGACTACTTTAAACAGCACGCCAAGGACTACTGAACAGCACGCCAGGACTATTTGTACAGCACGCCAAGGACTACTTTGTACAGCACGCCAAGGACTACTTGTACAGCACGCCAAGGACTACTTGGTACAGCACACCAAGGACTACTTTGTACAGCACGCCAAACTACTTGTACAGCACGCCAAGGACTACTTGTACAGCACACCATGACTACTTGTACAGCACGCCGAGGACTACTTGTACAGCACACCAAGGACTACTTGTACAGCACACGCAAGGACTACTTGTACAGCACGCCAGATCACTTGTACAGCATACAGGACTACTTGTAAAGCACACCAACGACATTTGTACAGCACACCAAGGACTACTTGTACAGCACGCCAAGGACTACTTGTACAGCACGCCAAGGACCACTTGTACAGCACGCCAAGGACTACTTGAACAGCACGCCAAGGACTACTTGATAACAGCACGCTAGGGACTACTTGTACAGCACACCAAGGACTACTTGTAAAGCACGCCAAGGACTACTTGTGACTAGCACACCAAGGACTACTTGTACAGCACGCCGAGGACTACTTGAACAGCACACCAAGGACTACTTGTACAGCACACCAAGGAGTACTTGTACAGCACGCCAAGGATTACTTAAACAGCACGCCAAGGACTACTTGAACAGCACGCCAAGGACTACTTGTACAGCACGCCAAGGACTACTTGTACAGCACACCAAGGACTACTTGTACAGCACGCCAAGGACTACTTGTACAGCTCGCCAAGGACTACTTGTACACCACACCAAGGACTACTTGTACAGCACGCCGAGGACTACTTGTACAGCACACCAAGGACTACTTGTACAGCACTCCAAGGACTACTTGTACAGCACGCCAAGGACTGCTTTTACAGCACGCCAAGGACGACCTACTGTAAAGCATACCTGTCTCACGCCTGTCTCAGTTATAGTCTGACAAATTCTCTGACATCTACTTATATAACCTGCATAATGGCGGAATTCATAACAAATAGAGTTTTGTGAATCTAATGTAACAAATATAGTTTTCTTTGTGTCTCAGACTCACCGTCAACACGACCTTCAAACACCGTCTAAAACACCTTTCTTAAGTCTGGCCGGAAACACTCAAACTGAAATCAATACTCAGAAACACCAAACACTTGAGGTAACTAAGCTACTACTACTACTTCTACTATATATATATATATATATATATATATATATATATATATATATATATATATATATATATATATATATATATATATATATATATATATATATATATATATAATTATAATGGCCTCCATCCTCCCCTTATAGCCATACCTTCGCCACCATTTTATTACCTTAAAATTAGATATCCTAATACATAAGTAGCTATCCTAGCTGTGTTGAGTTAGTTGAGCCGCAGATCTATGCGGCATTCAGTGAGTGTTGCATCATAGTCAATATCTGCAACTGTTATCGACTTTGGGGCGGATGCTCTCGTTCCCCTGAGGCAGAGCAAAGCCGACCTAAGGAGAAAAAAGGACAGTCGACATCTCATCCAGGCTGTAACATAACTTCTGGGCTGCTGCTTCTGTTCGGATAGCACCTCCGCGAGTCTGGCGTAGAAGCATCTTGCACTTGGTCCCATCCCACCAGAGGTTGTGAACACCAGAGGAGTGAAGCTGAAATGATCAACGTTCTGAATTCTCTCTCCATATGCCCTTATCTTGTCGTTCTCGTTCCTCCTGTGTGCAGCATCGAGAGTTAAGTTACGGTGACGTACTGCCATGGGATCAAAAGCTCACTGTCCCCGAGTCCAGAATCCTCTAGCACTGACGTCAAAACGGGCTTCGTTAGATGTGTTTGAAGTCCTATGTTGGAAGATCTCACCATCCAAAGGAAGGAAGGTCGGTTCTACCATGACATCCCGGCAGATTTCCTTCAGCATATTTGCTGTGAGGTCCCTGACTTCGTCATGCCTCATGCATATGAAGCCCCCTTTCTTGCACTCCATGGCGTGATCGACGTCATAGGAAGAGCCACACACGCAATGGGAGGGCAAACCTTCTACTGGCCTACTGTACCTTAGAGCAATGGCATCTGTAAATTCTTGTTTGTTAAGACTGAAACCATTTGCCCTTATCGGTAACGTAGTTAGCCAGTTCGAGGCACCCACCTTCTGCGCTATAGCTACTTTTTTTCTTAAAATTCTTTGGTACTTGCAGCAACAGTTGCTGCAACTTATCACTTTGGCCGTGCTGTCGTTCTGTCGTAATGGACCTTCGAATCTTGTTTACTTCACTGGTATCCACCTCCCCTGTTGCGCTCTGAGCTATTATGTGCTGCTGCTGTTGCTGTTGCTGTTGCTGCTGCTGCTGACGACGACGACGACGACAATAATGATAATGATGATGATGATGGTGTGAAAAACACGTAAATTTATATTTCATTTGGTGTATTACAGACTATTATAGTGTTGGTGGCTGGTCAAGGCCATTTACGCGCTGAGTAACTTCCTTTTCCACCACCAGGTGACACTCGTAAGACCAGAATATCGAGGTATATCCACCTGAGGATGTCAGTGTCTCTTATATCTGCCAGGTCTTGGGATGTAACTCCACTGGCTGTGAGAAATCCGCCGAATGACTTGACGCTGATATCATAGCTGATGGGGTCGCCTGTGCTGTGATGTAGGAGCACTGGCGTTCACAGTGTTGACGAGACACTTACGGTGTGTCTACGAGGACGTGAAAGGGTCGGGCCTCTTTGACCCTCGAGTGAGTGACGAGACGATGTATGTGAGGTTCAGGAACCTGTAACTCCCTACACGCGTAAAGAGTCTATGATTTGTGGCGGGAAGGAACCTATCTGTCAACAACACCTTTGAGTCGTGCGTCACGGGACCATCAAAGAATGTTATCAACCTTCTTTTGATAGATGGGTCGTGTGGGCAGGTGAGACCTCCCTATCGATAGGCCTGACTGTCTAGTCACTGGATCCTTTGCTCTTGGAATACAGAGGGCGCGCAGAGTCGCCTTGTCGTCAATGAGTGTTGAAAAAGTGGCAATATTCTAGCCTTTACAAATCGATCAAATCAAGCATTATGGAGAATAAAGAACAAAAATAATGTATTTTTTAGAAAGACGACCAACATCATGGAGTGATTCTTTGACCCATGAGTTGTCCCTCGAACTCCATGAGTAAGTTTTTAGCTTCTTTAGTACAGTCTTAACCTCTTGAGTACAATACCTTAATCAGTTGAGTACGATGCCTAAAATAACTCAAGCGGTTTCGGCATCACAGCGTCCAGAACCAAAATCTTTACACTATACTAACAGCTAGTTTTGTAATGTTCTGTGTATCCTGGTAGTTTCAGAGCAACACTACGTGTACATTTGTATACTGGTAGTGATTTACTGGTAAGTAGTATGTGGGTAGCGATGCCTCCGCCAGCGTCAAAAAACACAACTAACACTAATGTTGTTTCTCCCTCAGTTTGGGCTATGCGGTGCTGGTGAGTGTGGGATTGTCCAGGCTGGGACGGCTGAAGGCGCCCTGCCTCTTGTTGCTACTTCTGGTCTTCTCCTGCAGGACCCTACGCAGGAACCATGATTGGGAATCCAGGGAAACACTCTTCCTGTAAGTCTATTGATGATTGGTGGTCACAAGAGGCAATGGTTGTGTCGTGGAGGTGCTCTGAAGGATGGTGGTCTAGTGCCCTTAGCTAATTGCCCAGGGAGACGTATCTACTTGTTAGTTCTGTTGGTGACTAGTGGTGACTTGTGGTCAGTGATGAGTCTTGTTGGTGACTTGTGGTGACTTGTGGTCAGTATTGAGCCCTATTGGTGACTTGTTATGACTTGTGGTCAGTGGTGAGTCTTGTTGGTGATTTGTGGTGACTTGTGGTCAATATTGAGTCCTATTGGTGACTGGTGGTGACTTGTAGTAAGTGGTAAGTCCCGTTGGTGACTAGGGTAACTTGTAGTCAGTGGTGAGTCCTGTTGATGACTAGTGGTTACTTGTGATCAACGGTGAATCCGGTTGGTAGCTAGTGGTGACTTGTATTTAGTGGTGAGTCCTAATGATGACCGGTGACTGGTGATGATGGTTTATAGTAACCTGCTGGCATATGAACAGTGGCTGGTGATTCACGGGAAGCTATGATGATATAGGCGAGGGGGAGAATAATGTTGACGGTGATTAATGGTAGTTAAGTATGGTGATGATTGTGATGACTATAGTGTTGGTGATGATGACTAGTGTTAGTCATGGTGATGACTACAGTGTTGATGATTGTGATGATTATAGTGTTGGTAATGATGACTAGCGTTAGTAATGGTGATGATTACAGTGTTGGGTGATGGTAATGATTACAGTGTCGGTAATGGTGATGATGAAGATTATAGTGTTGGTGATGGGGATGGTGGTGATTACTGAGTTGTTGATGGTGTTGATGGCTACGGTGCTGGTATTGAAAATGACTATAGTGTTGGTGATGATGACTTGTGTTAGTGATAGTGGTCAGTGATGGTGATGGTGATGACCCAAGTGTTGGCGATGGTAATAATTAGTGTTGATGATGGTGACGGTAGTGATTACTCTGTTGGTGATGCTGATGGTGATAACCGCAGTGTTGATGATGGTGATGACTACAGTGTTAGTAATGATGATGATGATGATGATGATGATGGCTGCAGTGTTAGTCATGATGATAGCGATGACCACAGTGTTAGTGATGGTGATGACACCAGTGTTAGTAATGGTGATGACAACAGTGTTGGTGATGGTGATGACAACAGTGTTAGTGATGGTGATGAAAACAGTGTTAGTAATGGTGATGACAACAGTGTTGGTGATGGTGATGACAACAGTGTTAGTGATGGTGATGACAACAGTGTTGGTGATGGTGATGACAACAATGTTGGTGATGGTGATGACAACAGTGTTGGTGATGATGAGTGAAAGGTGACGTGTTAACTGTCACCTGGAGTGTCGGCGTTTGATCGTGTTAGATTGAGTTAGAAAAAAGTGCTAACTAACGAGTGTTTCTGGTGTGTTCACAACGGGACTTTCTTCTTCACTGACTACAACATTGACATAATAACTAACACATCTCTTAACTTACGAATTCATGAGATATTAGATATTTCTTAATAGGAATATATCTCACTAAACTTATTTCAACATAATATATCTACTAAGACTTTACCTCAATAATTTTGTCAGTCATGTTGTGTATCACTATAGGTCACATATGCTACACTTGTGGGTCATGTTAGGTCACATGTGCTACACTTGTGGGTCATGTTAGGTCACATGTGCTACACTTGTGGGTCATGTTAGGTCACATGTACTACACTTGTGGGTCATGTTAGGTCACATGTGCTACACTTGTGGGTCATGTTAGGTCACATGTGCTACACTTGTGGGTCATGTTAGGTCACATGAGCTACACTTTTGGGTCATGTTAGATCACATGTGCTATACTTGTGGGTCATGTTAGGTCACATGTACTACAATTGTGGGTCATGTTAGGTTACATGTACTTCACTTGTGGGTCATGTTAGGTCACATGTACTACACTTGTGGGTCATGTTAGGTCACATACTTCGCACTTTTATCACCTGTGTCACCCACCACCATGACGCTACCGGCCAGGGCGGGGCTGAGGACGCTGCCACACAACGCCAAGATGCACTACAACTTCGCCAACCTACAGAAGGACCTTGGCAACCCTGACCTGGCCAAGTTCCATTACACCGAGGCCATCAGGTGAGTGTCTACCTGGCCTGGAAAATTTACCTGGCTTGGCATATCAATAGTGACCAACATTTGTCTATTCTCCCTACCACAAAAAAGTGACTGAGAATAAGGTGGAGGCCAGACACACTTTTGATTTTCTGAAAACACCACACTATCTATCTATCTATCTATCTATCTATCTATCTATCTATCTATCTAGCCAGCCAGCCAGCCAGCCATCTCTCTCTCTCTCTCTCTCTCTCTCTCTCTCTCATACTTGTTTATCTCAACCATCTATTAAATTTCATGTTCGTTTTGTTGTTTTGTTTAACCTTATTTTTACTCCTCTCTCACTTTACCTCTCCTCACGTCGCTCACTCTCTCACTTTCCTTCCTCGCTTGCTGTTTCACTCGCTCACTTTACCTCCTCGCTCCGCCATGCACGAGACACTTTTCATGGCGGCATGAGAGGAAGTGATCACTTTAGAATGAGTCAATCCCGGCCTCACATGACTCCCCCAACGAGCCACTCACCTCTCAGATGGGTTTTTCCTACACTAGTGCCACGGCACTTCTGAGGTGCGTGCGTGCGTACATGTATGCGTGTGTGTGTGTGTGTGTGTGTGTGTGTGTGTGTGTGCTTGCGTGTGTGCTTGCGTGTGTGATAGCGTGCGTCGTGCATGCATGCTTGCGTGCGTGCGTGTGTGTGTGGAACTTCCCCTGTAACTTCACTGTAACATCTTATGAAGACTTACATTTAATTAGGGAATTACCAGATATTGTTAAAAAAAACAGTCTGTCTTAGCTCACTTCTCTGAGATGGGTGGACGGATACAAGCGGTTATATGTACAGATATATATTTATAATTGTATCTACAGAGAGGCTGGCCACTTGATCTGGGACTGAGGACTGTGAGCTTGAGAGCAGTGTTAGAGATGCTATTTAGATCTGCTAGGACTGAAGGGGTCTCTCAGGCTACTGCTCAGTGGTAGATCAGTAATGTCTGGTGTCCAGCTCAAGACTGACTAGCTATACCAGGGCGGACCTACCCCGGCTAACTGACAATGACGTCACGAAGGATGATGCATGGGTCCAAGCTTCTAGAAGCTCCTACCAGTAGGAAGGGTTGGCATGAACACCTGAATCAATGTCAGCAGCGTTACTGAAATAGCTGTCTGGAAATGATCTCGTTAGAGCCGTGAATCATCCTTAATTGACGTTGCAAATTTCTAACTAATCTGACTAATAATTTACATCAAATGCTTGGAAGTCTACTAGTGATAATCAATGTACCTAGTTATCAAGTAGGGGTCATTAATTGAATAAGTAATGAGCTTCAAAGGTGATATCGTCATATTGAGACATCTCTGGTGGACATACTGTCGCCAGACCGTATACGTGACTAAACCAGCTGCGCTTTGAGCAGGCTAAATAAATGCTTACTACATGCTTGCTATGAAACATCTCTGATCCCTGCGGGTCAATGCAAAATGCATAATGAAAACTTATTCATCCATCGTGTATAATAATCTGGTTGCTATACTGGTTACAGACTAAACAAGACTAAACTGCTTACATGTGCGTGCGTGCGTACGTGTGTTGTGTGTGTATAATAATATTAATAATAATAATAATAATAAACGGTTTATTAATAGAGTTGCAGCCGGTGGCTGAAAATATACGCATGTGTGTGTGTGTGTGTGTGTGTGTGTGTGTGGAGTTGAGAGAAGACGACCAGGCTGGTGACGCATACGTTAGTTTGGGTGTGTGTGTGTAATTGGTGTGTGTGTGTGTGTGTGTGTGTGTGTGTGTGTGTAATGTGTGTGTGTGTGTGTGTGTGTGTGTGTGTGTGTGTGTGTGTGTGTGTGTGTGTGTGTGTGTGTGAGTACGTGTGTGCGTGCGTGTGTGTGTGCGTGAATGAGTGCGTGTGTGTGTGAGTGTGTGTGCTCGTACAGCGTCCTCCACCATCCCTAAGAGACTCCAGTGGATACAATATATAAAGTTTTCTTGTTGTCGCAGCAGTTCCTCAGGGCAGTGTTCTGACCACCGCTAACTCTCTATAACGTCTACGCCGCTGTTTCTCCTCGAATGTTTTCACAGTACCACGTAAGCTGGGCATTGTTGAACGGCTTCACGTGTTGTTAATGATGACACTTGTGTCTCAGAGGATCATGCATGAGTCGCTCCCTGGACCATTGTACAGTACAGTACACTAGGGGGACGCCACTTTGAATACTTTTAATTGGTTAAAGCCAAACTTTTTTTCCACCAATAAGAGACCACAGTTCACAAGGGTTAAACTTGTGGATAAACAGGTTCAGTATTTCTCATAACAGGAGCACCAACTGTTGATCTTGGTCATCGGGTGGGTCGTAGGTTCTCATCACCTTATAGCTTTTTGATAATGTAAGCTTCTCCAGGTATATATTTTTTCCAAAGTCTTTTAACCAATTACGTTATACAAGACTTGCGATTACTGTGGTTTTCAGGCTTAATGATAACCTCTACATGACAACAATAATAACGATAATCATTCTCCATTGTTGTGAGACGCTGCGAGTGTACAGTACAATCATTTATGCTGGACTTAACAGTAAAAATAAAAAGTTATTATGAGAGTTTAATTTACACCACAACCGAGGAAGAGGTCTTCTGATAACTGTTATTGTGCACATGTTGTTGAAGGACAGCAGTAAATTACTTAGTCAAGACCTTTATTGTGAGGACACCAGCTTGACTGTTCGTTATTACGTCGTCGCCTTCTGAGTATTACACGATCCTCTCTCTTCCCAACGGTAACTTTTACAAACATCCCCAACGCTGCTACCAGGAGGTAGAGGGACATAACGAGAACATTAAGGAAGTAGGGAAGAAGAAGAGGGAAGAATGAAAGGGGAATTAAGAATGAGAATGAAGGAATTGGAGGGAGGTAAGACAGACGGATGAAAGCTGAAGAGCATGTTAAGATCCAGGTGGATGGGAAAGAAAACTGAGGGAATTGTGAGTGTGATAGTTGTAGGCAGGGAGGATGATGGAGGGCAGTAGATATATACAAACACATACACGCACACACACACACACATACTGTGTATATATATATATATATATATATATATATATATATATATATATATATATATATATATATATATATATATATATATATATATATATATATATATATATATATATATATAGGGGAAGGTAAAGAAGGGGAAAAATATTATCAAAAACTGTATTTTTCACGAGATACTAAATAACAGATTTAGTCTTCATAAAATTCACGTTGAACAAGGGAACGCTTGATAATGTTGGTGTGTGATTGTGATGGTGAGGGAAACACTGTCTGTTTACCCATTACAATAACAGTAACTAGGTTGTTGTTGTTCTCACTGATAATGAGGAAATACAGTAATGCCATTAGTGTTAACGTGCTTATATTGTAGAGAGAAAAACAAAAATGATGTTTGTCTTTACATATAGAGCCCTAGATAGGTGTTCTTAAACACGTTTGGTACTGGTCTTGTGTTACGGAGTTTGGTGGTTACGTGCGTCTAGTAGAACCAATAGAAAATGATTGGACTGTCCAAACTATAGATGATAAGCGAAATATTTATATGTATGAGAGTTTACCACACAAAAACCAAAGGGGTCGTCCCTTACCACACACACACATGCACACAAAGGGGGCATCCTTCACCATAAACACTTCCCAGTTTTTGCCATGTATAAAACAGCCACAAGACCTGAAAGGTCTTGTAGAGTCTCAATTCAATACAGAGACTACTGCACCGACAACATGCTCCTTTTTGAAAACAACCTAATGAATGCTAACTGGGATCATGTCTATGCCTCCAACAACCCTAACGTGAACAGCTGTAACTTCTCTTGCATCTTTAATGCTTGCTTTGATAAATGCTTCTCGCTCAAGACTAAGTCAGTGAAAACTGCATCCATTTCCAAACCCTATATCACAAGCAAAATTAAGATAATGATAAAGGAAAAACACAAACTCCAAAGGAAATTTGCAAAAAGACCCATAACTTTCGGTGATGCTTACCGAAGTATCAGAAATAGAGTAACACAAGCAGTTAGAAATGCCAGACGTAACTATTATACAAATAAGCTCCAGTCAGCATCAGGCGACAGTAAGAAAACCTGGAATGTCATAAATTTTATTCAGAACAGGAACACTCAGCCTTCGGCCCCCTCCTCAGCTTTTATGATAAACGATTCAGTTATAACGGAACCCTCCCCCATTGCCAACCACTTCAATGAATATTTTATTAATGATGGCAAAAATCTTGCAGAGAGCATCCCTGATCACCATGAGGAATTTAGAGCCTACCTGCAAAACAGACAGCAAAATGAGCCATTCTTATCCCCTGTCACAGCAGATGAATTACTGGCCATCATAAAAATGTCCAAAGATGCAGCAGAAGGCGAAGACTATATACCAATGAGCATCATTAAGAAAGTGGCCCACTTATTACTACCAGTTCTCCTCAACATTTGTAACTCCTCCTTCACTAGTGGTGTCTTTCCTGATAAAAAGAAAATTGCTAAAGTCCGCCCAGCATATAAAAAATCTGGGGACAAAGGTCTCTTCAAGAATTACCGCCCCATATCAGTCCTCCCAGCCTGGAGTAAGATTCTGGAAAAGCTAGCATGTAATAGACTAAATTCCTTCTGCAATGCCAATAACATCTTTACAGACTCCCAGTTTGGATTTAGAGCTAGAAGGTTGACTGAGAGTGCTCTGCTATCCTTTACTAATGACATCTTAAATTCCTTTGATTACAGTAAGTTCACAGTCGGTATTTTCTTGGACCTCTCTAAAGCCTTCGACACTGTCGACCATACCATCCTTCTTTCAAAGCTTGAACATTACGGCGTTAGGGGGCCTGTCCTACAATTGGTTTACCTCATATCTGTCCAACAGGATACAGTATGTCTGCTATAATAACCACCAATCTGACTCCTCGCCAATCTTGTATGGAGTCCCCCAAGGTTCCATTCTCGGTCCAGT